CAATATTTACTGGGAACCTCCTGTTATTCTGTGGCTCCTACCCGATTACTCTTAAGGAAATAAAGTGAACCACATTATACCACAATAATCTAACAGTTCTACCTCCAGTAAAAGGGCCAATCACATTGATTTGTCTTTTTTGTTTGTTTGTTTTTGCATTGAATAGTTTAATTTTGTTACATATTATGTTAACTCTTTTTTTATTCTTCAAACTCGAATAATACATAACTGCTTCGTTATTAATTTTCTGTTGAACATTATGTTATTCTGTAAAGCCCCCCAGTGGCACAGCGGTATGTCTGCGGACTTACAACACTATAAACCGGGTTTCGATACCCGTGGTGGGCAGAGCACAGATAGCCCTTGTGTAGCTTTGTGCATAATTAAAAAAAAACAAATATTCTGTAAAATAAACTCAATAACTTTTAGAGGAAATCAAACCACCCGAGGAAAACTATAATTGTTTGGTTATTTGTTTCACTCATTACAGTGTTGGAAAATCAAGGTTTACTGTATTTTTTTCATGAAAAACAAAGGGTCGGTTAAAATAAAATGGTTATATTACAGCAAGTAATCTTAGATATTATGAATTAAGTAGTAACCTTGTATTCATTTTATTGAATACTTGAATTCAAGACTAATCTTCAACTTTCATTATCTTTACACACTTTTATCAAATGAGTTCAAGGCAGGTCAGGATGAAACAAGATAACCAAATAAATAACATTTACATTTTACTTCCGTCTAAACAAAACATTGAAGACTAGAAATACTGTAGGCTTCACTATATGTTTTCGTATAAAATGAAAAGTTTTTAAATATAAAGATTCAAAATGAAATATATAGCTGTTATTCATTGACAAATCGGTCTTTCTGTAGCCATATCTTCATCTATACTTAATACTGCGCTCTAAGAAAATTCTGTGAACTCTTTATCATTAGTAATTTTGTTTAGTGTTATTTCTGCAATCGATTTTTGTTGATCCTACTCTCTGCTACAAAATGTTCTGGAGTCGACCGCTCCGGTATTTTATATTAGCCAAAACATTTTTCACTCGAGTGGCTGGCCCTAATAGAAACCCTATAAAGCGAGCATATTCGGTAATTGGAATTCGAACCTGCGACTCGAGCATCATAACCATTAGACTATTGCTATAGGTAAATATGACGTTGCCTATCAAACTAGATAACATGAAATTAGATCAGTCTGGAACAGCATCTTTGGCAAGTTGGGTCTCGAGGTAGTATCTGACAATATCAATACATCGACCAACACAAATAGATCCACAGTGTTTGAATAAAGATCGTTTTCATTCTTTGTATTTAATACATTTATTTCTTAGCACACACTCAATTTTATTGGAATTCAGTATTACTTTGCAATTTGTCTAACCTTCCGATTAACTAGCGGACCTACCTAATTTACTCTTTCGGGAAAGCAGTTTACCTTAAAATAAGAAAAATACTCAATTTTGTAGGCTTATTAAATTTTACCATAGGTAGGTAATATACTGTATAGTTAATTGATCTGAGGTTCAGTACTAACACACTAAAATACATTAACAAGCAATCTCATTATCAAAGCTAATTAATGATTTTCAGATATTATAACGGCACATTATCATCATATTACAAATGTTATTGATGTCCCAATCCTTTTATTGGAGAGATATTTGATAACGGAGACCAACGACAAATGTAAATATAACATTGAATATTCAACTTCTGATGTGTTTGAGAATATTTATTGAAGCCCCAACAGTAAATCTGCAGGCTAACGACGCTAAAAATCGAGTTTCGATTTCCGTAGTGACCAGTCCGCAGATAGACCATTGTGTAGCTTTGTACGCACTTGTAGGAGCCAATTATTACTTTTCTTTTTAGTTTGCAATAATGAAATTCAAGTCTTAAAAACAAAGTGCGTATCTGAACTTAGAATTGAAATCCCTACGTTTAATAATGGACTTTATTTTCCAGAAATCACATGGAGCTAAATTACCATTACTTGACTCCGAAAATAAAATTCGTTCATAACATGTAAATTCTTCTGTGGAAAACTTTTAAGTGTATAAATAAAAGTGATTTAAGCTTTAAATACTCACCTTTGGTTTATCGTTCAGAACAAAACCCATCACTTTTTATCGTGTAAAATTAAATTTCTTAACCTCTGTTTATCTTGTTTGGCCCAGTCACCTTTTTAATTTCTTTAATAAAAATAGCTTCTTAAGGCAGATAGGCTTTTCTAGTTTACTTCATTAGTCAATTGAGAGATGAACTGAAACGAAATTCTAGAATTCATAGATTACTTATCGTACCTGACTAAAGCAAGTTACGTTTGTTTTGGAATTTGAAGTTACGATATCCAGAGTGCTCAACCGAAGGTAAAACTCACGAACTACATTTTCTTCATACAAATGTCGACTGCTGACTGTTTATTTATACAAGTGGAATACGTGAACAAGTGTAAAAGCCAAGTTCATTTGTCGTACGATTTAAGTTTTCATTCGTAGAACATAAAAAACCGGTGCCAGAAAATCTCGTTTAATGTCACAAAAGATACCGTTAAGCAATTTTAAGATATGATTAATACTCTACAAACTTTAATCATTTTCTAAGTGTTCTAAAATTTACTGCCGTTTAGGTTATTTTAAGTGTTTTATTATTATTCATGTACTTGACACTCATAGTAAAAAAAAATAACCAAAAACAGAAACTTTATAGTATGTGATCAAAAACGAAAACGTTTAATGTACAATTCATTTTTATATAAAACCTGCACACACAACTATCACAGGTGACGCCATCACGTAGAGATTGAGTCGTAAAATGTAAATGCTGAAAGACCCAAATAAATTTAAAAAGCTGAGAAAATGAGTAACTACGAGCATTTAAGTCAAAATATGTAAAGCGAAAATTTCCTTTATTTAATTAAATGAAACATAAAGCAAAGGAGTTTTCAACTTCGCTATTTTAAAATCAACTATATTTAGTGAAATTGACATTTAAAATAAACATATTAATAACTGTAAAAAATGATACAAAATTTAAGCACAATGATACAAATTAAATATATACAAGCATAAATTTAAGGATAACATAAACATCTATTAAATATCGCTTTTAAAATCTATTCTACCAATAGCAAATATTTTGTTGCTTTACATGCCTACATTATATTTCGACATTTCTATTTGTTTCAGTAATTTCGATACCAGAAACCACGAACTAGATAGCTAAAATATTTTAGACTACAGAGCAAATATTAGTTGTAATATATTACTAAATGGTAAACATAAATATACTTATTCACAGAATGCTTTCTTGCTACTTCCATCATAAAAACTGTTTTAGGGGTACAAGAAGTGGCTTCTTTTACTAATTATACAATGTATTGTTTTTAAATATAGTATTCATTTTTCTAAACATTATAGGCAATGTGCAAAATATATGTCGTTTGTGAAGGTTATAACCATTCAGGTTGCACTCCATAATTTTATGTTAAAGTTGCTAAACCACCTCATGGTACAGCAATATGATCTTCTTAGTCTTGAACCCACAAGTATTTTTACTAATGAGTTTGTTCTTAATGTTTCTCAGTAGTAGATTTATCGAGTTGCGCATTTAAATTTGCCTCCTGGTGATGAATTTTGTCAATTTTCTCATCATTTATGACTTCTTAAATATATCAAAATTTGCACGTTAAACTATTTTATAAATAAAACAAGCTATATTTTCTGATAGTTTAGAAAATATCACTTTCAAAATGCTAGAATATCTTATTGAACTTTAAGTTCATGAAGACAACAGCTATCAGTTGTTATGATTCAGTGTACAAATACAATCTTTATTAGAATCTACAGTTAAGCCCATAAAACACTGTTATTTTTGAGTTGAAAATAATGAAATATCCCTTGTTTCCATACAGAATATTTTAGTCAAAAACTAAAAGAACTGTACATATCGAACATAAAATGGCTAGTTGTTTGATCCCTGATGGAATTCCTCAAGTTAAAATAGAACAATAACTATAAAGTTTTTATTAATAAGGCATAAAGCATGTATATATTTGAAGGAAATTATTTATGTTCCAGGTTGTAATCCATAATATGGGAATTTGTTTAATAATTTGCTGAGATTTTTTACAGGGTATGTACACAAAATAAAAATTTATTAGTCAAGTTTCTGATAATGTTGCATAAACTACAAACTTATTTTTAGTTCAGACTAAAATACATGTTCTAATAGCAAGTTATGAGTAAACTAAAGTATATACCAGTTCATAACCATGATTTCATCAGACTCTGCAAACATGTATACCTTTGGTAGAATTTCATACTATCATTAATGCTCACAATGTTCTTCAATTGGGAAACTGCTAGGGAAGATACGAGTAAAACACTGCCAGTGGTAAACGTCTTCCATAATATTGCATTCCATGTTGCACATAAATATTTATTTATGAAATTGCTGACACAAAAATTGGGGTAATATTGAGTAAAAAAAAAAAAAGCATCATTAAATATCCCAAAAATGTCAAAGAAAGGTCCAGGAGATTTGATCACTTAAAATGTATTTAAAATTTATTACAATTTTGCAATGCTCACAAAGATAAAATTTTTTCCTGATACTTTATATGTATAACAATTTTTATATTAATTAGAAGAGCTATAAAATGCTTTCAAAGCTCAAAGAATGTTTCTAGACTAACTCATAAAATGTATAAAATATATGGAAGAAAAAGCAGGAATAATTTTTTGTCATTTATTGATACACTTTCTCTAAAACTAGGACACATTCAAGTGAGTATACCTGTGCAGGAACATAAAAGAAAATGCAACTCAAGGGATTGTAATAATAATGGAAAACATCCCATTACGGGTATGTACAAAGCACAAACACAAATTTGAAATTCTATACTTTTGTACTTGGCATATAAACACTAGTGCTTTGGAACAATGCATATGCATGTACGTCTGTATTCCTTGTATACTACTCAAATTTCAAAACACATCAAACTAAGTTCAAATTCTTAAAATAAATCTTACTTTAAGAAAAATAATATGTATGTTTCTCTATATACAGACAAGTAAAAAATCATATAACATGTACAAGAATAATAAGGTTAAGTTGCATATAACTATTAAACACAGGATTATTCACACGCATAATGAACAAGCAGTTATATTTTATTCTTTAAAACCTATAATTATTTTAATCAAATGCAAACATTGTGCAGCCTATGCTATCTTGCATCAAAGTTGCTCAATGATCAAGATGCCATCATCATATTTGACACACACTGTGCAGATTTCTTCAAGGTTTTCATTTTCACTGAAAAAGAATGTACATAAAACACATTATTGTTGACTGCCTACCATAATATGCCATTATACAATGCACATTACAATCAGTATATATCCTGTAATAGGTTGAAAATATCTAAATAGATAGACACATATACATGGCAACATCAGTTTTAGTACAGTAACTTTTTAGGAAAGAAAAAATAATAATTATTCAATCTCTATAATATATATATATATACGTAAGGTCAAACTTTACAACCCAAAATTTAACTGGCTAAAAGCAGTAGTTAGTCAGAACTTCCAGTCATGAGCACATAATAACTAATTTCATAAATGAGGGGATCAACGAAGAAGATTTATAAACATGTCTGCAATCATACACACATTATGACTTGTTTAAGCATGTATTAGGCATTGGCTTCCAGTTATTCTTCATGGAATTTGATTTTGCTTACAACTAAAAAAAATACTATTGGTGTCGAAATATGAGGGAGATCGACATATCACCTTTTCCCTGAAAATTACACCTAGGCTTCTAGCAGTATAATAGCATAACATAATGCTTTCAGACAACATGGGACATATTGGTCATCTTGGCTGTTCCATCCTCTAAACTAAATTATTAATAAATTAATTAAAAAAAAAGAAAATGATAAAATCTAAAAGCCAGCCCTTATCATTCATATACTTATCAAGCTTTTTCTTCAACTCACTTAAATATACTGCATTCACAATACCTAAAGGCCAACCACCCTGTTTAAAAGTAAAACTGTCTTAGCTCAAGACGACTACTATCCTTCTAAAATTTATGTGTCCCTTAGTTTTACTATTCTCAGTGTTAATTATGAAAATATATAATGCATCAGGACTATCAATTTCCTTTACAATCTTAAACACCTCAATCAGATCCCCCCTAACTCTTCTTTTTTCAAGAGAAAACAATTTGAGAGATTTCAACCTCTCCTCGTATGACAACCCTTTAATCCCAGACACCATTCTCTGAACCCTTTCCAACAATTCAATGACCTTCCTAAGTTAAGGAGCCCAAGACTGAACACAATACTCCAAATGTGACCTATACAATAAAATTATAACCTCTTTAGACTTGTATTCAATATTTCTGTAGAAACAACCTAAAATTCTATTTGCCCTACCACTAGAAACAGCACACTGCTTGGATGGCTTAAGAGACTGATCAACAATTACACCAATATTCCTTTCTTTCATGACACTGTTAAAGTTATTCCTGTCCAAATTATATGTATTATTCAAATTATAACCCATATGCATTATCTTGCATTCATTATAATCAAAACTAACTTGTCATTTAATTGACTAAATGACCTAAAACCTTCTGTAAATCAAAAGCATCCTCTATACAGCTAGTAATACCCAAAACCTTAATATCCTGCACATTTAAGTAATTTATTGACCATTCTTTCATCTATGTCACTGATGTAAATCAAAAAGAGCAAAGGTCTTAAGACTGAGCCCTGAGGTGGCACTAACGACATTAATCCAGTTTGACTGAACTCCATTTGTAACAACCCTCTGCTTTCTTCCA